CCCTCTGGCAGGTTCAAGCCATTCTCTTTGACCTGTCCCTGCAGGCCCCAGCCAGAAGTCCTGTTGTGATGGAATCTGCAATAAATCTGTACACGTCTGTATTTTGATAGCACATCACCTGTATTGTTGTTGCACTGATCCGCTGTGAAATACTTTTCTTCTGAAGAAAGCAGAACATCACCTTCAGCAGGTGTGGACTTTTATTACCAGCTTTCATCACTTCCCCTCCACTAGTCCGCAGATACAAAGAACGTGCACAACTTCTCCCAAGTCCAGGGAAGGTTCTGGGTTCTTCAAATCCCCTAAAACCCCAAATGACTCCTTTTGTTTAGAAAAGGAGCTGCCATGGCCATGGAAAAAGAAAACTTAGTCCAAGGCCCATTGAAATGGCAGCTTCTGCAATTGCAAGTTAGCTTTGCTTTGCCTTTAGAGAGGCTCGTTCCTCTGTTGCATTAACAACTGTACGTAAAAACATGGGTTTAAGACGTCAGATTATCTGACAGTACAACTGTGGTCAGCTTTTTACCTCATTATGGGAGTAATTTGAGTTCATTTAATGCCCTGCTTGAGCCTAATTTGCCTCTGTTGGAATTGCTGCCATCTTCCTGATCAATTCAGACGTGCTCTGTCCCTGGTGCAAGTCAATAGTCGTGACAATCAAAGCGATCAGGAAAGAAAGGGGAGCATTCAGAGCAACTGCCTGCAGAGCCAGCCCCAAAACCCGCTCCAGGAATTCCTCAGCCCTAAGCAAGAAGGTGTTTTACCAACCAACCACATCAAGGCACCCTTTCCTTTCTCCTTGGAGCTGCCTCTATTGGATTAAAAGCCACGAGGACTGACTCAGAGATGAAGTTCCGCGTGCTGACGTCCTGCAGGTCAGGCAGACTGCAGTAATTGAGAGAGATTTCAGGGGAAAGGATCTAATTTGCTTTGCTGGCAACACGGAGCCATTCACACTTTGTGTTTTCTACATACCCTGGTTCTGGGTTGAACTTGTGAACCCCATTGTCTGCTCTGTGGAGACAGGAAAGCACCACCACCACCATAAGCAACGTCAAGCTTTTATTTCAAACCTCTGCACCACTGCATCCACGCCTGATGGGGATGGAGAAAACCTCCCAGCAGTTTCTTCTCTTTCTAATCAACACGGTAACACTGCAAACGTTACAGTAATCAGAACCCTGTCTCCAAAACGCTTCTGTGCAACAGCAAGTGGTTTAAACAAACAAAACAAGGCTAAGTTTGACTAGTATTGACTTATTTCTGAACTATAGGCTGCCCTCACGCTTTCAGATTCAATGACAGGAAAAATTCCCAGCTGCGTGGCCCCCCAGCGTGCTGTCAGCAATGTGTGAAATGCACCCTTAAACCTCATGTGGTTTGGAGTCCCACGACCACAACTGGAAGTTACAGGAATGAGAAACACCACGAGGAAGAGAGGGAAATAGGTGCAGCTGGCTCAGAGTCACACAGAGAGTACACAGTCAAAGCAGGCACAGCAGAAGGGGAACTCAAGTGCATTTCCCTCCCTGCTGCAGACACCGGTGGAGCACAGTTGATCAGAATCAAGTTGAGGCTTTTCCGATTCATGTTTGAAAGATTGAAGTTTTTCTCCATCTGCACGAATGAGGCTTGACTTGCTTTAAAATACTTCTTGGAAACTGCTTTGCTCCAAGTTGGCTTTTCCTTTTCAGGTGTTTGAAAGCCAGGATCCTTTCCACCAGGACAAGCCGGGCACGACCCATCTCACAGCGTTCTTCCCGCGCTGCCTGCCCCAGCAAAGAGCACTTCTGAACCCCTTCGTTGCACAGCACGAAATCAAAGGGGGAATTGCTTTGCTTTGCTTTGCGTTCTTAAGCACCTGATGTGCCCCAGCACACGCTCTGAGAACACACACATCTGCACAGTCAAATCCTTTTCCTGTCTGGTTGGGTTATGCCCATCTCAAGCAACGACTTTCTGTTGCGCACACTTGTTTCCTGACACTTGGCTGCTGTGACAAGTAAGAAAGATGTGAACAAGCAGCAACCAGTGTGGGAGGAAAACCAAGGCCAAGGCATACACCAGTCCTGGAAACCACTGGGCAGAGCAGAAGTCATGTATCATGGAAGAAGACCTTGAAAGAGCTTTCTCTGGCTTTCTGCTTGCTTTTTAGAGGCACTTAGGAAGAAGAAATACAGGTAAGAAGGTCCAAACACCAGAAAGACAGTGGCACGTATCACACCAACATGCAAAAGGTATAAAGGCACTTTCCTACAAGACATGTGAGCAGCTGGATCATGGAGACAGGAATTAGGAATCGCCATTTCAGCGCCAAGCTCTGACCTCAGGGAGTGGGTCCTGGGCAGAGTCCCACCGTGTGCCTCAGTTTCCCCCTCTGTAAGGACAGCTCTAGCACTTGATCTCTTTGCTGAAACACTTCTGAGGTGCACAGAGAGAAATCAATAAACAAAACACGAAGCTTAAATGGTTTCATGACAAAGCCTTTAAAACACTAGACCCTTCTCCCCACGGTCCATATAAAGAACTAGAAAGATTTATAGTGTTAAAAAAATGACTTTTCGTGTCTTTTTAACACAGTATTTAGGAAGTAAAATTCAACTAGACAGTTCCATTTGGTCGCTCACCACTTCTACATGTTTCACAGGTTTCTACAATGAATCCAATGGCACAGAAAAGGGTACGTTTAAGTGCCCATAACCCCAAATTTGGCAGTATTTGCATGACAGAATCCTAGCCCAGACATTGACACAGTGGAACACACCAGCAGTTCTCCAGTTCTCAGCCCTCACTGTTTCCTTAGCAATCCTTTTCAACTCCAGAGAGCGAAACCCCACACTTTAATGTCCTTAGTGAAGGCAACCAACCTTCTTACCACCTTCTCCTTCCACAGATGACAGAAAGTCAGCAAAGAGAGACAGAAGGAAGCCTTTGCCAGAGGAACACAGTCCTCCC